CTTTTATTTGATCATTCTTAGTTGAGTGGGAGCGAAGAAGTGATGTTTACTCCATCAGCAAACAGTCTTTCTGGTAGGGAAAATCTTGCAAAAAATCCTAAAATGTCTCTATTTAGGGAAAAGAGGGAAATCTCAGAAATTACTATTGGTTAATGAACTTGCTCGAGTGATTCCCACGGCTTAAAAGGGAAAAAAGATCTTTATTTAAATTTATGCATAGTTGGGCCAAAAATAGATTTAGAAACAGGATGTAGCTTTTAAAAGTGTGAGAAAGTATTTCGATTTGAATAATTAATTAGTAATAAAGTAGGAGTAGTTTTACAGCAAAGAAACTAACATAAAAAGATTAATTGAAGCTTTTTATGTTATATATATATATATATATATATAAAAGGTGCATAAGTAACAAAAACAAATTTGTACTTTTTTGTGATACTTTTTTTTAAAAAAACTCGATCGTATTAACAAAATATAATATAATAAAAGATCATTTGCTAGAATTTTAATAAGAGAAGCTATATTATATTACGATTTTAGAAAAGTTATATTGAAAAATCTGAACAATGTAAATCTAAATGTATATTTAAAAATCGTGCTAAAGCTGGGTGAGCTTTAAGCTACCGCCAAGGATAGAACCCTAGTCCTTCTTAGGAACACCTCAAGGTCTATACTACTGTGTCATCACGGCCTAACAATATATATACAAAATTTTCAAAGCTAAGCTAATTTGTTAACTTTGCACAATCTAGAAACTATGGCTGTTAAATGATTGTTTTCCAAAAAATATCGAAATTACTTTAAAAATATACTTTGAAGTTTGATGAAAAGCACGTTTTTTTGTGAAAACTATTCGGCTTTATGAACATTCTTTTTAATTATCTCTAGTTTCAGTAATAAAAGTTTTCTAAGATTAAGATTTTATCTGTATTTGGTAGCTATATTGCCATCTAGCGTGAGAATTTGACATTAATAGTTTTTGTTTTTTGTGTGAATTGAACGGGTAGGAGTTGAGTTGTAATACAGTGAGATGTGAATAGTAACCTTCTATGTATCAGAGAGACAAAGATGGAGATAGATAGATAGATAGAGATGCCAGGCTTAACAATCAAGGTGGGTGTGTAGCGGAAATGAACAGATACACTATCGTTCTGTCCTCATCTAGTAATCTACGCATTATCGTGCCAAAGAACTATTTCTCAACAATAATTTATACATAAAGAAAACTTTAAATCTTTTTTTTTGTCAATACTGTTTCTTATAGATTGGAATATAGACTTATATCACAATCGTTCGAATAGTTCATGACAAATTGAATTTAAAAAATGTCGCATATTAAAAATCCAATTTCTTAGGGACCATTCAATCGATTTCGGTCAAATTTTGCATTTTGACACGTAAAATTACATTCTTTAAAATTAGATAAGAATTTTTATTGTTACCATTCAATTTTTTTACTATTATTAAATAAAGTAATAAAAAGGAATAAATATTTACTAAACATTATTTTTGCATGGAATTATTTTTGAAGAAATGAATTTTATGAGTCTGTGCGAAATTTTTAAATTCTCTTAAATTCTTGAGATATTGCAAAATACACAAAAAGTAATATTAACATTAAGGGGTTCAAAATTCGGGCTGTTCTCCTAACCAAAGTATTAGGACCATATATTCCCCAAATTGGGGGCCAAAAGTCCATATCCCTCTATATTTTGGGGGTCAAGAATCCATATCCATTGAAAAAGAGGTATATTTATTCAAAGAAAGTCCGTGTCTGATTTCGTAACTTAAGATATCTTTTGCACTAATTAGTTAGAATATTTGAGATTGCCCCTTCGAGATATTAAGGATGAGTCCTAGAACGTGATAAACCGAACAATAGATTAAACGTTATTCAGGATGCAGTTTTTTTTTTGGCTCACTGTACAATACATATACTATGCCATACAAGATGCAATATGATACTACGAGTTATTATTATGTAATTTTATTTTTTTAGCTTATGTTGAACAGCANAATTTTTAAATTCTCTTAAATTCTCGAGATATTTCAAAATACGCAAAAAGTAAAATTAACATTAAGGGGTTCAAATTTCGGACTGTTCTACTAACCAAATTTTTAGGACCATATAGTCAAAATCCATATCCATTGAAAAAGAGGTATGTTTATTCAAAGAAAGTATGTGTCCGTGTCTGATTTCATAGCTTAAGATATCTTTTGCACTAATTAGTTAGAATATTTGAGATCACTAACTCTAACCGTTAAGATCGAACGTGAAGATCCAGTTATTAGATCAAAATTTATTCAGAGTGGTCCTTTTCTACGCACATTTACATGATCAACAACATTAACTGTCATTTTTTATTCCTTTAGGTAAAACGAATTGCTATAAAGAGTCGTGTCCGAACTTCGGTGAATGCGTTGAGAAAGATGATGGAAGAATTACGTGCATTTGCCCGTTGGGGTATACGGGAGAAAAATGTGAAAGAAGTAAGGGTTGAATTCTGATTTATTCCTTCTATCAAGGGATACAGGATACACTTTAGATTTTTCTTTTAAAATTGAGTTTTTGAAAAAAAAAATTTGTGCTGTTGCATTACTTAATCAGTAGGCAATCTAAAACTTGAAAACTTTGAAGAAAACTTATGTTTTTATTCTTGATATTTCAATATTAAAAAATTTAATTTGAAGTAAGTATATTGTTACTTTGCTCCGTCTTAATTTATACATTTAAAATTGCTTTTTTTCATTTCTTTTTTGGATTTTTATAATGAAATCTATTGGATTTTTTTACTGTCTGAATACAAATCAGAGTGAGATTCATATACATATATTTAATATCAATTCCACTTCATGTCTGATTGACAGACATTCACTAAACAAAACAATAAGTACATTGTATAGTCCCGGGAAATATTATTCGACGCACTATAAGATTCTATGAAAAATTATAATTATCAGGGCATACTAAGCAGTTTTATTGTTTTTACGCGGCTGAAACCGGTTTGTACTTGTTCATGTTCGTGCATCAATTGGTTAACATTGTGATGCAATACATTTAAAATAAATACAAAGTATATAATTAAATCTCCCGAATAAAAATCCATTACATGTATGTTTAAATATGGAAGCATTTGCCTATAAATTCGTGCAAAACATGTAATTACTAAAACACTACAGTGCGTCTAATAAGTTGGACTCAATATTATAATATACTAATATAATACCTGATATAATAATTATTCTATATTTATATGATATATAGTCTAATTTATCCAATCGTTTAATTTTACCAATTGATACACGAACGTAAACAAGTACAAACCGGTTTCAGCCGCGTAAAAACAAAAAAGCGATTGAAACCGGTTTGCACTTGTTTACGTTCGTGTATCAGTTGGTTAACATTGTAATGCAATACGTAGGAAATAAATACAAATAGGAAGTATACAAATAATCTTCAGAATAAAAACCCATTACGTGTATGTTTAACTATAAAAGTATTGCCTATAAACTAGTGCAAAACATGTCATTATTAAAACATTACAGTGTGCCTAATAATTAGGTCTAATTATTATAATATATTAAGATAATACTTGATATTATAAATATTCTATATTCATATAATCTATCGTCGAATTTATATTATATATCGCCTAATTTAACCAATTGATACCTGAACGTAAACAAGTGCAAACCGCGTAAAAACGATAAAGCTGCATAGTATCACCTGATAATTAAGATTTTACATCTTATAGTGTGTCTAATAATTTGGCCAGGACTGTATGTAACTGTTACTAAATTTGTTCAAATTGGAAGTATACAAACGTGTGGGCATTTATAAAGTAATTTTGGCAAGAGAAAGAAGAAACTATTTACTTGAGAATCATCATTTACAAAATGATTTAAATAATTAATTATTTTTCAGAATTGTTGGATTGTGATGACTCATCATGCACTGAAGAGGAGATTTGCGTTGCTACACTCAATGGATATCAGTGTATTAAAGTTTAATCTGCAAACATCCGAATTCGAGTCAGTTTGCTTATAACAATTTTATGATTTAATCTGTTGATCGAACTCAAAATTTATAAGAAACGGTGCTGTGATTTTACAAATGAATGATAGAATTGCTAAATTTTTTTTCTTGTAAATAATTTATCAAAATTGAAACTTATGCACATGTAATAAAAAAATATAAAATATCCATAAAAAATTTTCCATTTTAATTTTTTTGTACTGTAAGCTTATGATTTTTTACAAATTTTCTAAACATTTGTATACGTACAGTATCTTTCACGGACGTACAGTATCTATACGCAGAGTACGTACAGCATCATACAGTATCCTTTGCCATTCAAAAAAAGAAACGAGTATTTCTTGGAGTCTGAGTACTATGTCACTAGTAGTTTTGATTAGATTTGATAAAATATTTTTAAAGATTCTATTAAAGATAAAGATTCTAAAATTACATATTTTTAAAGATTCTATCAGTATTGAAAATCGCTGGGGTAATTAGCCACATACCTTGCCAGTGTCATCTTTGGCTGCAACTGACAAATAAGACGTGTTTTAAAATTTAGCTAAAGGGAATGCGATTGGTATGCCCGTTATCAAGAATTCGATTAATAATCGACTGCTGCACTTTGTTAGAGGTAGGTAGGTACTTTACTTAAGTCGCACTAGAGCTGCACAATGGGCTATTGGCGACGGTCTGGGAAACATCCCTAAGGATGATCCGAACACATGCCATCTTAATTTTGATCCTTTGAACAGGGGGTGGCTACTCTCCTTTGGTAGCCCAACGACCTGCGAACGAAGTGGGGAACAGCTTAGCGAGGACCGATACCGTGCACCCTCAGTCTCTACGCAGACTGATCAAAGTTGTCACCCACCCACCTACTGACCTTAACCAGCAATGCTTGACTTTGGTGTTCTACTGGGAAACATGTCTTTACGATCAGTCCATTGTGGGACACACTTTGTTGAAATCTTAAGCATACATTTAATTTTGATAGAATTAAAACTCTTTCCAACTAGCTCATCTTGTTGCTCTAGAATCTTGTTTCATTCCTATTAATATCGATTATCTTGATAACAACAAGAATTCATCAAATTTAGCTCATGGGAATGCTTTCTGCCTTGATTTGCTTCTCCCGGCTACTGTGGTTTTCATTGGCTGTTTACGTTTTCTGTTTCAAATTTCTTTTCTTTTTCCTTATTAACGTCTAGCGAGTCTTAAAAATGAATGCAAATTGAATGCTCGAACCATGTCGACTTGTGCCACCTTCATAAGAGTTTGCAGCAAATGAAATTTTTAATATGATTAACCTTTCCACATAAGTTACTTGGGGTTATACATTTAGTTATATAATGCATTCAATAATCTATACATAACTTTAATATTGCCATATCCTAACTAGGGATGTTTAAAATAAACACTGAGAACTTGTTAAGCCAAAAAATTTTAAATAAAAATATATCGTTCCTACAAAATGGTTTTATACTTTATACATAAGAACATTCTCTACATTAAAGAAGCTTCTTAATTTATCCACCAGGGATGTTTTTATTTCAAAACTTTTTTACGAATCAAGAGGTGGTACGATTTAGGCAATTTTCCTTTTTTTTAAATGATGTATCTATATTTATATTTTTAATTAAATATTCTACAAAATATTATTTCTTCTGAAAAACTGAACTGAAATGTATGAATTTAAGAAATATAAAATAATAAGATGCATAAGTTTGTCTCTCTCTCTCTCTCTCTGTAATATATTATAATTAATCTCTTATAATTATAGAATCGTCTGTGTTTTTATTCTGAAATTTGGATAGTGGCTACAGGGAGCAATGTCAGATCCCAATTCTCCAAAAAAGAAAAAAAATTGGAAGAAACGTTTGAAAATGAATTTCATCTCATCTGTTTAGCTTATCAATTGTTATAAATTAAGCGGTTGACGATTCTTTCTTAAAAGATAATACCAGGGAATCTAGCAAGCTCTTATGCTTTGTTTGATTAAAAGAAAAATTTAAGGCATTATGTCAGGTAAATTTAAAAACTAGCGGGGATGGTGTATGAAATCTACCTTATCGAATTAGTACTTCTAAAGTTATCTAAAATCACGTGTTTATAAGATTAATTTTGGTATGCTTTTGAAAGATGTTTCGATACAGTAAAAAAAACTCAATATCCATAGAAATTGAAATAGAAAATAATTGTTTTATGCTAAAAAAACGAATAGAAAAAAGCTATTCAATTGTTTCTGGAGACAGTAAAAAATCGTCCAACTATGATTAAAGTCAATGATGCTTAATTAATTTTGTTGATTAGTACAACTGATATTGTTGTAATGGGCGCTGTTTCAATCAATACTAAATACACTTATAAAAGTATTTAATGTCGATACTTTGGTAGTTGGGTTTTTATAGTCCTTAAAAATGTCGTGATTGCGATAAATTTTGACTCTTATTAATTGTCTGCGAGCAATAGCGTCAGTCTAAATAAGAGTGAACATGGTAAATCTTTCTTTTGATGGGCTGGACTTCTAAATGTACGTTTTAACTTAGACAATACCGTGCCGAGAAGGCTCTGGGGATAGATTGTTCGAATTTCAAAGAGGTGACCCGGGTACGTTTCCCGGCGATGGCTGGTCGATACGAATTCCGCACCCGGCTTGCACCGAACACAGTGCTGACGTGAAACATCCTCAGTGGTAGACAGAACATGGGTTGGAGTCGCAAATGCGGGTTTACTTCTATCAAAAAGTCCTTCACGAAGGCAAATTTCTCCGAGTACTTGATCCAGGAATTCCCTTGTTTTGTGGATTGGGTTCAAAATTACAAGGTTATGTAGTTGAACATTAGTAGCGATAAACCCGAAAATTGGGCCGGCTGTTTAATGTCGGTTATATAAATTTTATATGAAATACCGTAAATACCCTTAAAAAGTGCAGGAAATAATAATAAATAAAAGAAAATAGATTTTTTTAAAAAATTTTTTAATTGTCTCGATATATACTTTTTATTTATGTGCATGATTACGTAGTATTTATTTTCTGAATATTCTTCCACTTACTAAGAACGGATGTTCAGCAAGTAATAAATAAATTTTTTTATATTTGATTTGATTTGGTATTCGGTTTTGTTTAGTTATAACTTCAGTAATTATTATCGATATATTTTAAACATTTTTCTTTCAATCTTTTTTTTTTTGCTTTGACAAAAATTTATAGTTTATTTATATACATTTAATTTATTTTCTTTCGCGTTTGCTTTAATAAGTATCTACAAAACAAGTCTTTCGAAATAATACAATTTTTATTGAACATTTTAAATCCTTGTACATGGATTAAAGTTTTACGTCTGACTTTTTCTTCCCAAGAAAGTAAATTGCTTTTCAAGTTTTAATAATTTCACAGATGTTTTGATTACTAAGTCTTCTGAAATATTCAAATAAGTTTCCAAAATGTTTCCTTTTTAATGTGCGTAGAAAAAAAAATTATATTTCGCATTTTGTATTAGTTTTCATAAGGATCGGAGATAAAAGAAGGAAAAAGCAAAATAAGAAAAATGATTTGGAAATTTCCTGAAAAAAGTAGGATCGATACTTTTTATGAAGATTTCTTAAAATAATTCATCCATATCTATTTAAACTAAAGCTTTAGGAAACAATTTTCTTTTTTTAACGCATGTGTTAGTTAATGGTGTAGGATATAAAATATTAAATTTCATAGAACCTAGACGTGAATGAATTATATCTGGTCAATATGAAGCGTGTTTGGGAAAAAAAAGAAAAAATAAAGTGCCTTTTAAACTAACAGCATTTCTTTTACAAACCTTAAAAGTATGCCGAATAAACAGTTGCCTTAATTTTTTTTCCTCCCTCAAAAATGTCATGTTGTTTTGCAGTTTTAAAAAAATAAACAAAGAAAACCACTCATGCGTTTTCATAGAAATTGAAAGCTTTTTCCTGTAATTATAGATGCTTGAAATGCGGTAAAATTAATAGTTGGTGAAGCAATTAATAAAAAATTGGAAACTTAAAAAAAAATGCAGTAAAACTTGTTTTTTTTCCTTAATACTTGATAGTAATTTTCTTTCTACAAGCAAGATAGTTTGTATTTTTCATTCCCCTTTTTTATATTGCTATTATTTTTAGAAAATTAATGTTTTTTTAAAAAAAATTTTCAGAAAATTAGGTAAAAAAATTTGAATAAAAATAAAACTTTGCATATATTCAGATTTTTTTCTTAAAAAATGAGCGTGGAAATTCCATAATTCTTTTTTTCATCGCTCACGACTAACTGGATTCGAATTAGAATAAAAATAAGTTCATAAAATCAATGCAAGGCAAAGAATCCCAATTCCAAATCCATTGCACGCAGTTACAAAATTTGTTTTTTGTTCGTTTAAGATTATTCCGCGTAAAAAAAAATAATTTGTCATTTTTTTTTCTCACTATCTTCGTATTTAATAAGAAAAAATATGAATCGTAAGGTTATACCAAGTTTTAAACCATTTTAAATTATGTGATTTTAAATGTAAAAATACAACATTACAAACAAGTTGGGTCAATAGCTTCTGAGCTATAAATTTTAAAAAAAGGCACTGTTTCAAAATTCTGTTTTTCAAAAACTATTACATCAATTTTATTTAAATTTTGTCGTTTGTCATTTAAAACTAAAAATTTAAAACAATGTAAGGAATTGCAATGAAAAAAAATTGCTAACATCTAATAAATATAATTCTCTTACGTGGCTCCCAAATTTTGGCTGTATTTCTTTTTCGCCGGTGGCAACGTTTGCTCTGTTTTGTTTACGGTACTATTTTTCTTACACGGCGAATCGACCAATGATTGCCTCTAAAATGTCACATGCCAAATCTAGCTGAGGTGGCTCAATACATAGCGCTTTTAAGAACGAAAACTGAAATAAGCAGAGAGCATCAGCTGCGACAATCTCATACTATTAAGCTAGGCAGAAGTGAGTAGTCTTTGTCGATAGATCTCTATTTTAGTATTTTGTCGAAAGCGCTTTTTTTCACGAATATATTACGAATTTATTTGACGATTTTTGATTTATATCACGAATTACATGTCATTT